GAGTGAGTGAGTGTGTGTGTGTGCTCTCACTCTCTCCCTCTCTCTCCCTCTCTCTCATCTCCCTCGGCTCACCCTCAGCCTCACGCTCGTTACAACTCTAGTTAATCCTTCACATTCCGGGGGACAAACACCGACTCTGAAGTTCCTTGCTGCAAGGACGAATAGCACATACCAACCACGTTCAGAGGGATAATCAAAGGTAAGGGATTTGCAGACTCTAACAATCAACAAATTCTGTGAGTTTAGGCTCACCTCAACCCCTGCCCCTCGGTGGTAATCCATGGTTAGTGTCTCAGCAGTTCTCTTGCCTTCGTCATAGCAGCTTCTAACACCTACCACAGCACACCACCACCACCGTAGGCAATCAGGCACACAGTAATCATGAATCATGGACCCAGAACAGAGAAACCAACGACAAACATGATTTCCAAAAGAATAAATATATGTGATTTCTGTCATTGAAAAATTAGGGGGTTAGCACCACCTAACATGATAGTATACGTCAGAGTTCGAACACACGATTACATCTGCACCATTCAACCACAGGTCGGTTGAGTGAGCAATTATAATGCATGGAGCAAATATAGAATAACACAATGTGTCCCAATATGCAGATAATATATGATACATGTAATAAATTACTAATAATAACATAACATGATAATTGCAGCTACTCAGCTGCTCGGAAATTAACCGCACAGCAAAAAACATATAATAATATCTCCATCAGCAGAGTGCCTGAAACGACGGCAGGACTCTCTCTCTCTCTCTCTCTCTCTCTCTCTCTCTCTCTCTCTCTCTCTCTCTCTCTCTGTGTGTGTGTGTGTGTGTGTGTGTGTGTGTGTGTGTGTGTGTGTGTGCGTGCGGTTAACAGAGCCCAAAATCTTCAGGGTCGTTATGACAGAACTCTCACACCTTTTTCAAAAGGGAGAGAGAGAGAGAGATAGAGAGAAACCAGGTAGGCAAGGAGGCAAAAAAGAGAGAATTCAAAAGGGAGGGGAAAGAAATAAAATGACAACATAACAGCACACCGAAACAAAGGCAAAGAAGACAACAAGAACCATAAAACAAAGGAGTGGGCCGGGGGGGAGGGGAAAATACTAAAAACAGATGAAGAAAATGCGAAAAGGTGAGTTACTAACCATTCTGCTGAAAGAAAATGTCTAAGCAGATAAACGAAGGTGTCAGTTTCCATTTCTGCCTTCACCATATTCACTGAAGTCACCTCTACGATCTACAGTCGCCTGTAAGAAATTAGGTGCGAGCCGTATGAATGATGTGTGCAAGAAAGAAGAGAGTCTGACACATCATTCTCAACACAACAGATAGAACCAGAAGGTTCGATCAAAAACGTTTGAAAGTTGACAAGAAAAAAGTCGCGAATCAGTCGTTACGGAGAACATATTCTTCGATCTCTGGCCCGGTTTTCTTATACAACCGACAAAGCATATCCCAAAAGAGTGGAATCGACTTAATAGTAGTTAATACTAATTCGACTTGTATATATATTGTCACACTGTAAATCAGAGCGCGAAGGCGGAAAAAAGCAGAAAAAGCAAAGGAAAAGAAGGAAGGAAAGCCCCACCTGTTCATCACCTCTTACGTACAAGGCCAGCCACGTGGATGACAGGTTGAGCGCTGGCTGCCCCCATCCCCGTGTGTCACAAGGACTTGTATATATTGTCACATTGTGAATCAGAGCGCAAAAAAGGAAAAAGAAAAAAGGAAAAGGAAAAAAGGGGGAGGGGGAGGAGGTAAGGAAAGCTCCACCTGTTCATAACCTCTT